AGGAATTGCAATGTTTCAGGTCCCGTGATGACCAATGCATGAGCGAGGAAGAACACTGTGTCTAGACTAATCACTAATCAGGCGTACTGCAGATTTTTCACCCCACACTTTGGTCAGAAGAACCAAGAGGGAAACAGAAGTACTTTAATTTGTTTTATTTGGTGTAGCAATCCTTACATCTTTATCTGAAGCACATGGATGCTGGGAGGGCACAGGGACAGGAGGAGCAGGCTCATTTCCAGAACTACAGTATTTTATCAACTCTGCATTGCTGAGACACTACATGAAGGCAGGTCAGAGTGCAAGGGATTGTGATATGATATAGGAGGTTTCCATATCAGTGTTGTCAAATCCAAAACACGTTAGGGACAGTTTGAAAATCTGTGGTATCAGCAAAATAATGGAGAGAGAACAGCAGAGCTCAGTCTGCACGCTGCCTTCAGCAGGGTGCCATGAGCTGCATGTCTCAGTTCACCCCACGCAGAACCCCTGCCTCCTGCGACCCTTAACACCAACATTAGGGCTATGCTGCAAAAAGAGGGATTTTTTGCTTTAACCCCTGTAGGCGGACGTGCCACTGAGGCTTCCAGCAGGCTAACACAGGGGCACTCCCAGCACCGCCAGCAGCCATGGGGAAGCCGCTGTGCTGCTCCCCAGGGCCCCCTGCCCCCAGCCGCGCAGCCCTGGCCACTCTGGCCGCCACGGGCGCAGTGACCTGGATTCGGCCCAGCCTGCTCCCAGCCTGCCTCGGCATCTCCAGGGCCTCGCCGGAAAAGCCGAGCCGAGGGAGCAGACACAAGGCATCACGGGGTATTTTTGACTGAGAGCAGCATGCAGGTTTGCTGGGGAGAAAAGTAAGTGTGACACACCAGCTGATTCAATTCCTGTGCATCACCCGCGGTCACTTCTCCCAGCTCGTCATGGACAGTGCTTTTTATGGAAAGTGTAAAATTAAAACAAACGCATATTGAATTACAGGGCTGCTTGCAAGGCAAAAATAGACCAGCGAGTAACTCAAACCTCAATTCAGCAAAAGCAAAATCACACACCGAGGTACCCATATGCTTTACTGAATCCAGGCGAAAGAGTCAAAAAAATGTTGGTCTTGCATTGAGTTGTGCTATTTCAGGCTTTATCTTTAAATGGGAACTCAGTTGCTGCCGTTATCTCCCAACCTGCTACTGAGCCTCAGCTTGTGCTTTTCCCACAGGTTTCCTACCAGGAGTCAACTGAGCACCCAAAGTCCTCAGCTTTGCACACCTGCCCTCCCCCAGGAAGTGTTCACATCCTGGAAGACAAGTATTAAAATATCAGATGCATGTTTTGCATTGTTTTTTAAGGTTTGTTGTCTTTAAACTGAATTTATATTGGTTTTAAAGGCCCTGTCATACAGTCGTGCTGGGCTTTGCTGTGAATCCATTACCCACAGTTACCCCCGACAGCTATTTCTGCACCTGAAGAAAAGCAGTGGTTACAGCACTGAACAAACATGAGTTTTCAAGAGCCGGGATGCATCAAAAACATCCAGAAAGTCTAATGCAATCACTATATGCTTGATTTTCCTGCCCTCAAGACAGGCAAAATCTGCACTCACGTCACAGTAAGTTTTATGCTGTATTCTGAGGTAGGAGGCATCTGATCTCTGATATATACTTCCCTTTGAGTTTTACCCACTGCATCACATTATTTACCTTTATATTATGTCAAATAACCATGTACGCCAACAGAAACAATAAAAGAAAACGATGCAAGGATTAACATTTAAAGGGGCACATACTGTGGATGACCGATTTTAGATTATGCACCCAGCACACAATTCCTGTGACAGACAGTGTTGAACTTTGGGAGTTTTCAGCATGCTACAGATGTCTGTAGAATGGGCAAGATTTTGCTTACCCTCAGTTGGGTGCAGTAAGAATATTCTGTAGCTCCCTTAGAACATAGGAGAGCTGTATTACTGTCACAACACTCAGCAAGATGTTGAGGGGAGCAATGGCCGTAAAGGTAGAGCTGCAGTACTCTGGGCTGTTAAGTTTGTCAACAGGTATAGGGAGTATCAAACAAGACAGATGTACAGCTGAACAAGGGAAAAGGGACACTGAATATTTCTCTTGGTGAGGAAAGATCTCGTGCATTCACATCCATGCATATTTTCCACGCATGCTCTGGAATACTGTACACAGTGGTATAACCATTCTGTTTCCTGGCATGCAACATGGGATGCATGCGTCAGACACCCTATTTTTATCTTTTTCTCTGTGTAACACAGTCCGAAACTCTTCTCTTAATAACTCAGTGGCTGAGTATAGGTGACAGAGGCTGCTCTCAGCTATGGCATTCATAATAAAGGATGTGCCCTTCCTACCAAGCATGCTTTGCTTGGCAACATGTAGATCCAAGTGGAGAGAGATGAACTTTCCCCTGCTGTGAAAGTGCAAAAGGATTTAGCTGCAAATAAGGATCAGGTGCAAAATGGTTTTGAATGAGTTTTCCTTCCCAAATAAAGGTGAGGATACAGCAGTCATCTGGTTAAGTACAAAGGAAAGGTGCATATGAAACTTAAGTACGCAGATAAGACCTCTGTGGTCACTGGTTTTGGTTTTGAAGTGAAAGTAGGTCACACTCTCTTGTTCTGACCAAGCATTGATTACTCTCCTCTTTTCCTTTTTGAGCAACACTGTTAAAAATATTTGAACTGGTCTCAAATGATATTTGCATTTATATTGTCTTAAGCTGCTAAGATCAAAATCAGACTTAACTGTGGGCTTGTTTTACGCGACTCTGGTAATTAACAGCAGAACAGGCCCTATCACAGTTAGGTTCTCTGTCACCTTACATCATCTTACGCAAGAGCGAGAGAAAGGCTGCAACAGCTGGGCGACTGCTCCACCACACCAAGCCTTCCCTGGGATTCCTGCAGCTCTCCGTCATTGCTTTCCCAACACCCTCTCCCACCAACATGTCTTGATTCTCACCGGTGGATTGCCACTCCTCTCGGCACAGGGTGCCAAAGCAAATCCCGGCCTCTCCCCAGGGAGACGCACCATGGCACTGAACACCAGCCGTCTCTCTGGTGGCCAGCAAAGCACGAGGAAAACAGCACTGTTCCACCCCTCACAGCCAGCATCTGTCTGCAAGGTACTACCTGATTCAGTCCTGCAGCAACGCTAAGCTCAGGTCTATCACAGACGTGAGCGTACCTCACCTACCTGGGCTCCAGCTGTGCACTCGCTGCATGTCTATGAAATCTGGCAATCAGAATTAAACAGACTTGAAAAACAATGAGCAGAAAGAGTTGAGGTATTATTAACATGATCATTAGAAAAATAAACAAAACCTCCCCAAATCTCGCTATTGTTACCAGATTTTGAGGAATATTTGCAAACATCGCATCCAATAACTCAAACGCTATTTCAGTGTCGGTGGTTATTCCAGAGTCTGTGAAGAAAACTATTATTTAAGCCATGACATGTATTTTAAGAAACATGGCTGAAATATTCAGCATGCTTCCTTCCAAGCACTTTATGCTTCTGACATGCTAAAGCATCTGTTGAAATGCTCAGAAAGCTACCTGTCATAACAAGAAACCTTCTGTCCCTGGAGAGGCTCC